TGGCACCTTGTTCAATAAACACTTGAAGAACACTCTAATACATGGTTGGAACTTGAAAAGCAAGTTCACTACATCAAAATGAAAAGTTTCACTATTATGAACAACAATAATGCTTGCATTTGACGTAGTGCTTTATCAAGCCGTTGAGACATCTCAAAACACTTATTTTGTGCAAGCTAATTGCGCAAAGCAAACAGTTGTGGATTGAGTGACCAATTTTTTTTAAGGGTTTATTACCCACTGTAAGTGATCCGCCAATCGATTAACAACTGGGATCCTATTTACTGCTCAGTAAAACGAAGTGTGTGGAGTAAAGAAACTTGCCTAAGGTTTTGCCCCGCCAGGAATTGAATCTGGGTACTCTCGCTTGTGAGGCGAGTGCTCTAACCAATACGCCACAGGCGGAGTATTATCCACTACGTATATTTTTTGTTGAAGAATGACCATAGAAGCATTTAATGGGCGCAATAATCTAGGTGGGCAAACGAAAATGTCACACGTTGAGATAAAATATTTTAAAATAAAAGTAATTTATATTTTCTGTCCGATTAGAAAATCAGGCAGTCGCATGGACATGAGGTAAATGGGGTGAAAATGCAGAAAGTTTCTATACATTTCTATTCGCTTTTCTTCTCTTCCTCCTCCGCACTTGAAGATAATTAACTCCTCTTTACTGCTGTTGCTAAGGTTCATCAACTCACTCAAGTGGCCTTTGTTCATGTTTTGGCAATGGGTGTTTGCACAATGTTCAGCTGTAATAATAATATAATTGTTGAATTTGATATAGCCCCTCATCACGTCAATAAGTGCTTTACAGCATTTTAGTGTGGAATGTAGTGACTGTGCATTCTGTAGGCAAGCATGGCAACCAATTTGCTAATAGCTCCCCCAACAATGCCCCGGAGAGTCAGTCGAGCCTAATAATTAGGGTAATGATGGTATCACAGATGTACCCATGGCTGTTTGTGGGATATTACTGTGCGCAAGTTACCTGCCGTGTTCCCCCTCAAAATACAGTTACAGTATAGCCTGTGAAGCTCTGTGAGAACTCTTGACAAGACTCTCGTCAAATGCGAAGATTATTAGCATCCACACTCTTTTCAGTAGCAGTCTCTGCAGAACAATCAGAAGCAGAAACCCATTGATTTTCACCTCAGCAACGATACTGATCTTAATTGTAGCTCTTGACACTGTTAGAAGGTAATTTGGCACAGGCTGTATTTTAACCAACAATTTCCTGGTCTATACAGCCCAGCACTGGACGAGGATGAGTTTACCCACTTCCTCTTTGGCAAAGCTATAATGCAGTAAATTCCTGATAACTAAACCCTGGCTTCACTTGTCACTACCGCTTAAGTCATGATGTCAATTGAACATCGCAATATGCCGGCTGCATTTATGTATTTATACATGTGCCTAACTCGCCACTCGGGATAACTCGTCATTGAGCCCTTTTTCCTTGGAGTGACCAGTTTTCAGGAGGTTACTGTATTTCCATCTTTAAAGTTTGTTCCAATATATGTTTGCCTGGTCAAGCTCCAAGTTCCTCTCCTGCATCCTATATACAAAACGGCTTCTTCCAGCCTCCGTTCTGCTTCTGGTGAAGAGATTTGGTCGAAATTTGAATGACTCTTTTCTATTTTAAGTGTCGTTTGACCCGCTGTTGGATATCCAACACTTACTAATTTTATCTTTTCTTCTTATCTCCCCACCCGGTGTGAAACGCATTTCTCCATCATTTGCCAGGCACCTTGGGGAAATAAACAATGTTAATTCATTTAAATATAGAAACAATCTGATAGATAGCATATTGGTGTCACAGAGCTGCTCGCTCCATGTACTGAGCGTACAGTTCTGTGGGATTCATTGTCTTCCCACTGTGGGTAAGATGAAGCGGCAGCACCAGAGAGCATCACTTAATTGTGTATGTGCAAACCTACACGCGGATGAGCAGTTGTGGTTTGCAATATGGCCTTATTGCTCAAGGAAATGTCCATACAGACCAGGCAGAGAGAAATTAACTCCAGGTTTGGCTGAGTGACGATCGGACAAGCTGGAGCTCTTCATTCCTGAGCTGACATCTCAGAGGGGACCTCATAGAGGGATTGGAAAAGGAAACCCCAGGACAACACTTTAGGATGCACCAAGAATATTAGGATACAGGTTTAGAGTTGCAAAGGGCAATTTCAAGACAGATACAGATTTTCTTTTCCCAGAGGGTAATTAATGACTGGAACAGGTTGCCAGGAGAGGTGGTTGAACTCGTAGAAAAAAACAGCTTGATGCTGTGATGGGAAGATCGGAGAGGGTGAGTGTTCTGGAAGGATGAGATCAGATAGGCCGAAGAACCTTCTTTATCCAAACCAATTTTGTGATGTTGTGAACAGTGTGAGGCGAGTGCTCTAACCAATATTCTACAGGATTCCACAATGTTACATTTTGATGATGTGATAAGGCAATGAATCAATTGGCGAGAATATTGACATTATAAATTACCTTAGTGTCCCTAGTGGGCACAAAATCAACCAATGTTCTCCCTGCCGACTGTTATCTACCACAAACACAACAGTGAACAGTGACAGCTAAAGCGGCATCTTCACAGGCAGCATTCTTCTCTTGCCTTCAGATGTATCAAGGTAATCTTTTCTTTTGGTGGGTCCAGATACTGTATCATTTGTGAGTTTTTTTTGGGGGGAGGGGGCAGGTGAGAAAAGGAGGGATGGAATTTTCATCTCTCTTCTCTCCTGAAAGCAATGGCTATTGCTGTAATTTGGATTTATTGGCACTGAACGCCATCGCTTGTTCTTCCGTTTTAACCCAGTCAGTCAGTCCCCCACTCTCCTGATACCCAATCATTCTCTCGCAGGCACAATGGGTGTTGTCCACTGTGCCTTTGGTCATTTTTCCCGTCCCCTATTCTCCTCAGCTCTCCCCTCATCCCCAGTTCAGCAGTGTCAAGCGATTTGTAACATCTCTCCAACGTGAAAGGTGCTATATAAATGTAAGTTATGTTGTGATAGAGAACAGTTGGCATGGAAAAATTGGTTGATTTTGTGCTGATTAGAGACACAACAACAACTTGCACTTATATAGCACTCTCTACACAGGGTAGCGTCTCAGAGCGCTAAACAGTGGTGGAGTCTGACTCCGAGCCGGGGGTTAGGGGGAGGTGACCGTAAAGTACAGTCGGAAAAGCACAGGTGGGACTTGAAAAAGGGGAGAGGGGGCAAGGCGGAGGGATTGAGGGAGTGTTCCAGAGCTTCGGGGCGTAGTGGCTGAGGGTGCGACCTCCAATGGTGGAGCGGACGGTGCAAGGGACGAGGAGGCTGGTGCCAGTCAAGTGGTGGAATGAGGAGAGAGTAGGTCGGAGAGGTAGGGAGATGCCACTAAGGTAACTTATAATGATAATACTCCTGGCAATTGATGCAGTCAGTGCCTTATCACATCGTCAGAATGACACATAGTGTTTAAAGGATGTAGAGTGCAGTGACTATGTATTTGCAGTGCTTTCAGCTGGAGTTCTGGATTAGTAGGAACTGAATGTTCAAGGTAGTTGTGACAATGTACTTGTGTTACATTTGTGCCTGGGACTTTGGGTTGAACCAAACCTTTAATAAACATGTTTGCCTGACACTTGTTTCTTAAGTCTGAACCTAGTATTTCCCAACACTAGTGTATCAACAACAACAACTTACATTTATATAATGCCCTTCACAAGGGTGAGTGTCCTGGAGCACTTGACAGTAGCAGAGTGACCCTGAGCCAGGGGGAGAGGGAGGGGGAGGTGACTGTAAGCACGATTAAAAAGGAAAGTCTTTAGGAGGGATTTTAAAGTGGTGAGGGAGGGGGCAAGGTGGCGGGATTGAGGGAGGAAGTTTCAGAGCTTCGGGGCGTAGTGGCTGAAAGCACGGAGCGGAGGGCACGAGCGACAAATAGTTGTTCCAGAGCCAACAAGTGGAGGCAGCGGATGGTGGAGTGGGGGGTAAGCAGGTAGGACAGGTCGGGAGGTGCGAGGGCATGAAGGGATTTGAAAACGAGTGAGAGGATTTTAAAATCGATCAGTTCGGTAATTGGGAGCCAGTGGAGCCTGGCAAGGACTGGTGTGATGGGGGTACGGAGTTTTGTGAGGGTGAGTATTTGGGCGGCGGAGTTTTGAATCAGTACACAATTTTCTTACAACTCATCACAAATTGGCAATCAGTGTCTCAAGCCACAAAAACTAGTACAGGACTGGTGTAATAAGCTGATACTATAAGCTGGGGTTAGGTCACAGAATAGAGGGAGCTTTACTTTGCAGGGTGCCATGTAATATTTGATTGGGGGGGGGGTTGGGGTTTCTTAATGAATGCTGGGTATCCAAAACACATCTCAACAACAAAAATAATTCCAGTTTATAATGTGCAAGGTTTATAATTGTAAGATTTGTAGTTTTTTTTCGAGAAAAAGACCATCAGAATGTGTATTTTGCAGGTACCGAGTGATATAAGCAACAGGACCTCTCCCCTCCCCTTACACCAGATGTGTTTAGTTTCAGTTTATTACCCCATGTTCCTACTGAACCTCTTGTCATTGAGTGAACGTGAAAATGATTCTGAATCAAGGTTATAATCAGTATAATTTGGGCTTTAGCTTTGGTGTCTAGAAGCAAAATTGCCGCTTGAAACCTTGAGGAGCTTTCTCCAGTAAAATAAATGATGCCACTATAGTAGAGATTCAGATGGTGAAAACTGCTTCAGTCTCTGCACCAGAAATAACCCTATATTTTTCTTATTTTTCTCAGGCAGTTCACCACACTGCCCTTCTGCTTTTTAATAATTTTCAACATGGTGCGTGTGGGAAAGGAGATCTGTGTCAAGTGTGTTTCTGTAGTTCATCCCTCAATTCCCCGAAAAATGCAATTTTGAAAAATAAACACAATTTCTCTGCTTTCTCCTCGCTGGTGTCTGTGATACGAAATAGAATAGAAATAGATCTAACTACCCTGAAGAATCACGGCAATAAAAGTGATACATATTTTTATTTGCCAAATACATTAAGGGAAGATAACTATCATTTCAGCAAAGCCTTCAGTTTTCTATTGTTCATAAGAGGAAAATATAATAACATTATAACTATTTGGTGTTTTAACAGATTTTTTCCAACAACAAAACTTTTATTAGTGACAGGTTCTATGCTTTTATCATTCAAAATGATAGCAATTAAAGCTACAGTGTTGCCTCAATGTGTGTTAAAAGGTCCTCACAGATAGTGGTGATCACTTAGGTTTTATGTCAGGGTCTCTAACCAGGTTCAATAACTTGTTCAGCTTGGCTATTTCCACGTCAGGTCCTCGTTTTACCTCTTGTCCTTTTTTTGCCTTTAAAGGAAAGGGAGATATATGTTGAGATCAATACAGAGTTTGGCTGCACTGCTGGTGGGAAAAAAAGGTTCTACATATTTTATAATAATAATAATCCTTGCATTTGATATAGTGCATTATAACGTCATTCAGATATCTGAAAGCGTTTTAGAATATACTGTAAAGTGAATGACTGTACATTCTGTTAATTTTCAATCAATAATAACATGAGGGAAGGTGGATGGAATGACTGTTCCCAGGCTTCAGCTATTACAAGATGCTCAATAACATGCACAAGAGAGAGTGAACTCAATGAGATTCAAACACACAATCCAAGTGTGAAGATCAGTCACCAATCACTACAAATTCAGAGATCACGTTCCCTCCTATTTTCCTACCACCTGTTTTGAAGGAATGTGCTTTTTTACTGAACTCCTAATAGTTCTCTGACATCAGTGTGACTGAAACAAGCAACAACAACATGCACTTGTACAGCATGTTCACACAGGACAGCGTCTCAGAGCGCTTAAACAGCATTTTTGCAGGGATTGAATCTGCCTGCATCCTGTGTACTCATCCTCTAGCTCACCATGCTTACTTACTAATGAAATAGAATAGTTTGCACACATTGTTATTTTCTTTGCACAGGTTCAATGAAGCACATTGATTCGTCAGCTAGCATTTGCTGCCTTGCAACACAATATGATATGACACTTTGAAAATGTATCGTACTGAAAAACTGTTATGGCAAAACGTGTATTTGAATGAATCAATCACTGTTGTAAGAAGCTAAAACATTGTCGAGACCACTGGTCGTTTCCTGGTCAGCCTTTCTACATCAAACACTCAGTTTGGGTCATTGCCAAATGCTTATACACTGCTGGGCTCAGTGATTCCTTCCAGCTTTGGAGACTGCTTCAAGCAACTGATTTGAATGACAATCAGCGAGTGTTGAAAACCACTCACAATAACCCCAAAATTAACGACATTTAATTAAATTATTTGTTTCAGAAACCATTTTAGTCTCCTTTTACTGACAATATAGAATCTTGCAATGCACTGCAGAAATGTTTCAGGCCAAGAGACATTGAGTAGATAGTAATAAATCAAAGGCAGCCTAATTCATAAGCTTCCTCCCCGCATCCCCCACTCCCTACTGATATTTTCCAGTCTCAACATATCATCGCAAACTCAATACATTGCATTGTCAGATTCTCACTGCAGTCAGTTTAACAGAATGATTTCAGAGGCATTCTGTTTTTTGTGTGTGAAATGTCCTGTGAATAATGCTGCCAGCTAATTGCTTCAGAGAGCGTAGAGAACGGTGATATATTTCTGCAATAAAAAGGGCAGTTTACTTGACTGAAGACATTTATATAAAATAATTTTTAAAATTCATGAGGCAATTGGAATATAAAAATTGTACTTTTTAAAGTTTCTTTAAAAATCTTTATCAAAGGCAACTGCAGAGAGAAATCAACATATAAAACAGTTTTGAAGCATTTCAGGTAATGACGTAATGTGAAATATAGGATAAAATAGACTGAGACTGAATTTAATCATAATCTCATTACAGATATATCAGCAACAATCTAGCATAATTTACCTAGTGCTGGCCACACAATAAGTGATATATGTTCAACAGGCATTCCGTTATGTGAATTGATTTATAAAGCCTGCAGTGTGTTTGCTTATTGTTCAGTTTTTCTAACCAACTTTTAGAAACGTCTTGAATCATATTTACTAGCTCGGTTGGTAGTACTCTTGCATTTGAGTCAGAGGGTGTGGGTTGAAGCCCCATGGTGAGGGTTTTCAGCTCAGAGTCTAGGCTGACACTCCAGCACAGCACTGGGGGAGCGCTACAGTGTCGGAGGTGCCGTACTTCAGATTAGATGCTGAATTCATAAAGGGAAGGGAATTTCTGCAGGTATGCTGACTAACGATTCTCAGGATAAATTGCTCATTAACTTCATGGCTGTTTGTGGGGCATCACTGACTGTATACAAATTGGTTGTTGCGTTTGCCTACAAAATACATCTTCATTTCACAGCAATTATCTGTCAAGTGCTCTGAGATTTTTCAATCTCAAACTTCTTATTATAAAATGAATCTTATTATAAAATATAATTCTTAAAAGAAACTGCTTCTAAATTATTTATTTCAACCTATATCTTTCATATAGTGTATGAAATAATAATTTGCATTTTTCTTATCACTTAGGGAATCTACCAAAACACCTCAAAGTGCTTCTTAGGACATTACCATAAAGGGAAGTGACTTTGTATTTGTGGGCGGATGTGGCACCCTGTACCTTTTTGGTCAGCAGGTGTCTAACACATACAGAAACCCACCACTATGCTTAAGAGTATGCAAACCAGATTGAGAAAGATGCTAACTACATATGGAAATGTTCCTGTATCTGGAATAGAATGTACCTATTTGCTGAGAGTATTAGGCAAGAGCCAAGTCTAGGGAACAACACCTTCAAGAACAACAGCTTGTATTGATATTGTGCCCCTCAAGCAGGGTAGCGTCCCAGAAGCTTGGTTCTGGGGTTCCAGGTCGGCAGCCCAGAGTATATGCTGGGGGTAACTTAGAGTTTAACCAGATAAAACCACATGGATTCCTATTGAGAGCACTGTTTGGAAGGCTTCCTGGTACTTGTCCAGCTTGCCCTTGCACCTGCCTATTTATTCAGTTATCAGGATCTGAGGGGGAGAAATCCCTGCTCCCAAGGCTAGTCTACCCCTCCAAGTCCTGACAATAAGCCAGGCTGGCTGGTCTATCATCAGCAATGTCCTGGAACATTGGCTCAGAACAACAACAAATTACATTTGTATAGCGCCTTTCACGTCGGTAGGACGACCCAAGGCGCTGGACAGTCAGGGATTGGACCCGAGCAGGGGGTTGGGATCAGGAGGGCTGGAGAGCAAGGGAGGGTAGGGGTAGGAGAGTGTCCGAAGGCACGGTTGATGAGGAGGGTCTTGAGATGTGCCTTCAAGGAGGCAAGGGAGGGATCAAGGCGAAGAAGGGAATTTGGGATAGAGTTCCAAACAGTGAGGGCAGAGAGCCTGAAGGCCCGACAACCAATGGTGAGATGGCCCAGGTTGGGGATGTGGAGCAGGGTGGAGCCTGCTGAGTGGCAGACTGAAAAAGGCTTAGCAGGACCCAGAAGCAAGGCTTTGGAGGGCCTTGAAGGTGAGGATTTTGAACTCTATCCTGTGCAGGATTGGGAGCCAGTGGAGCCGGGCAAGGGTGGGGGTGATAGGATCACAGAGCCTGGTGCAGGAGAGGACACGAGCTACAAAATTCTGGATGTTCTGCATTACATCACCTTGGAGCAAGCTGCCAAATGACCTTTAGAGTATGGATTATTATTCCCTCTCTGTTCACAAAGAATGCGGAGGGAATAATAGCCTCAGTGTCACACACATATATCAATTACTGTAATGAAACCGTTTTAAGTGGAGTGAAAACACATGTTCAAAATTGTTTTCCTTTTTAATTATTTTACCAACATACTTACTCTCAAGAAATTGACAGTGCACAGATTACCCAAACCTAAGCAGTTCTACCCTCCTCGAACGCTCTGCTAATTACTACTCTCTAACAAGGGTAATTTGTAGTTCTGTCGCTCATTTGCTGGGTCGTGATCCCCAGGATCTTTCCGCCTCTCTGCCTCTTATTAAGGCTTTGTCATGATCTTTCCCTTGTAGGTCTTGTGCTCATTATCTGCTTTGATGCCCTTTCCCCAGCTATTAATTGTTTCCTATTGCGAGGAATTTCAGCTTCTATTTATAGAATGATTCTTGAGGCAAGGATCCACAAAGGTGGATTATGATATTTTGAGGAAATAAAACATTAACACTTCACAACATTTCGAATCATAACATTGGATATTTGCAACAATTTGCATTTATATAGCCTTTCGTGTTACAAAAAAGTCGAACAGCACTTCAGAAATACATCAAAAGGGATTAAATGAGAGAGAGTCTTCGCAACACAGGATTAAATAATCACAATTACATGACTGAAAAGCAGTAATTTCTTTCAAAGTTGAAACCTGGTACATAATTCTGAGCAAGTTTGACATCCTTTTTCTGACCATAAACTGGATCGATATTTTGGAATAAAAACTATGAATCCTTATGATAGCACAGTAAGCTTACTCGGAGGAGATACTTAGTTGGACTGAATTAACATGGATCAAGTGATGAGATAACTGGCATGACAAGTCAATTGAAGAATTCTACAATCATGTATCTGCCGTGGCTCGTTTAGGTAAAAGTCAAATATCTAAATACCTAATCAACTCCAAACAACACATCATTACTGCTTTGTGCTCTGGGAAAGAGGAATCTTGCTCTGGCTCACATATCTATATCCAGTTGTGAATGATCATGATTTAGCTGGATTAGGTAACAAGAACAGATGACATAAGAACATAAGAAATAGGAGCAGGAGTAGGCTATTTGGCCCCTCGAGCCTGTCCCACCATTTAATAAGATCATGGCTGATCTTCTAACCTAATTCCAATTATCCACCCTATCCCCATATCCTTTAATCCCTTTAGTTTTTAAAAATCTATGATGTTTCAAAGAAGAAAAAGATTCATTCCAGCCTCACACTTAGCTAGTGAACACCTGTGCTCATCTAATAATAATACAAGACTAGATTTGTATAGCGCCTTTCACGTCGGGAGGACATCCCAAGGTGCTGAAATGATACAGTATATTCGTGGAGTCCTGTAGCTCAATGGTTAGAGCATTCGCCTCGCAAGCGATAGACCTGGGTTTGATTCCCGGCAGGGCAAAATGTTGGGCAAGTTTCCTTACTCCACACGCCTGTTTACCTAGCAGCAAGTAGGAATCTGGTTGTTAGTCGATTGGCAGATCGCTTTCCCAGGGATAATAATTCTTAAAAAAAAAAATAATTTGGTCACTTCAATCCACGACTGTTTGTGGGACACTGCTGTGTGCAATTGTCTGCCGCGTTTTGCTCACAAATATACAGTCAAT